TCACTGTAGCTCTTATGAGACCCATGGATTCCTTTACTGCCTTCTCATAGCACATACTCCAAAGGAAAGGTAATTCATTTTAAAATGGGAAAAATTTGTCCATCTGCAAAGCTCAGCAGTCTTACCAACAACTTTCTCTTTGCTTGGGGCATTTAAAATTACAAACTAACATCTGTATTGTAGAGGGCACAATATTGATTATTGGACAGTTATTGAAATGCAGATAATTAAGTGCATATATAATTATGTGAAGTTCCACATGTGACACTTTCAGAACAAAGTCATCCCATAGCTGATCAATCGGTCATTTCAAAGGACAATGAAATAAAAATTTTATTTGATATGTTATGTCAGTAGGAATATATTTCAAAATTTGAGTGATCAGATAAAAGATAGGAAGCAAAAGATGGAATAGGGGATTAAAGACAGAATGCTACTGGGCTGGGGTTGTGGCTCAACAGTAGAGCGCTCACCTAGCACGTGTGAGGCACTGGGTTTGATCCTCAACACCACATAACAATAAATAAATGAATAAAATAAAGGTATTGTGTCCAACTATAACTAAAAAATATTTTTAAAAAAGAAAGATGCTACTGAAGTGAGGCACATGTCAGTTCTAAGGGTCAGGAGGATTTTTAATCCAATATTACTAAGCAATGAAAAGAAGTCATTTAACCTTTCTTTGAGCTAAATTTGCTTTTACAGTTCTATATTCATATAAAATGTTAAATAAATGTCTTATCACTTTTGAGTTGGCTATAGGAAAAGGAAGAGAAAGTGGGGAGACAGTTCTTCCCATCCTCCATAACCTATATATACATACATTCCTTTAAACAGCACCTGTTACCATCCAGGCTCCACTCATCTTTCACTTAATACAAAGCATATGGATATTTTCCTTGCCCTGGTTTTCCTCCTTTTGGGAAGCAAATAACTCATGAAAGAGGATATAGTTGCATTTCTTTTCAGATAATGTATGTATAAAATGTATCTCCCATTTTAGTTGGTTGTTAAGAGTAAACTGAGGAATTATACTTGCTTTTAAAATGTTACCTAATTGAGAATGAACCATCCTACCATCTGATCAGAACTCTATTCTCTATATAACCTTTGCCACCATAAATACTAGTCAGCAACACTCCTCCAGTTACTACAGTAGAAGTCACAATGCAGCAAAATACTATCCAAGTATTTTGTTCTCAGCTGTCACCAGGTACTAAGTTACTTCGGTCTTCTCAAATCCATATTCAGTTCCCAAGAATGCTGGCACCTCTTCTCTTTTCCCTCTTTCCAAAGTAAGACAATCCTAAATAAAATGTTAAGTAAACTGCTACACCACACTTTTCCCTTTTTTCACCTCAGTGGCATTGTTAAATAGCTATAGACATGTAGTGACAAAAGTCAAGTCAGTTCTCATTATTTTAATATGCTGGTTAATAAAATGTTATATTGACAAATGTTTGGGTCTATAAATAAATACTAGATGTGAAATGACTTTGAAACTTAAAATGTGAGCAGTATTGATTATTTAACTGTGATAATTTGAGTTTTTTTCTAGTGGTGTTCAATTTTGCCCTCTCCTATTCAACACCTTTGAAATATTTTTATTCAGGAAATATCAAAGCATTTGGAAAAGTTTTAGCTGCAGATTTATCAGTTACTCTCCAAGTTGAATCCAATCCATATTTGGACTTAATTAACATGGGCCAACCATATGTGTGCACATTTTCTGAAGGGACCACACACAGATGGGAGCAGATATTATATTTTTGTCCTTCCCAGCTAGTATTGCTCAATGCATATGGGTATTTTCTATGATGCCTTTACAATGTTTGGTAAACATGGACATTCCTAGTCAGCCACTGGGATTTTAGTGGGGGAGAGTAGAACAGCTGATGAGCCAGGCAGTGTTGCCATTCATCTCTTTATATCCAAGGTCAACAGAGAAAAACAGCACAAGTGCTTTTTTGGAATTAACAGACAGGAAAGAATCTAAACATACAGCTTAGGATCAACTTGGGGCTTAGATCCAGCCTTAGACAATATTAAAAAATAGTGTATCTCTGGTGTCCAGCCACATATTCTGAGCTCTGTTTTCTATCTAGTTTCATCCTTCCTTTTGATACTTTTCAGAATCAAAGTCTGTCCTTGAAGATATTCATAGGGAATCAGGGAGTCTATCAATTGAATTACACAAAAGAGGAAATGACTAACTGTATTTAAAACATTATTCTTTTTCCTAGATTTGCATGTTAATAGTCATGTGGAACCTTTAGCCAAATGTCAACTGGTTGCCTATCTGTAACAGCAAGGGAGTTCAGAGGGTTTAAGCAAGGACATACTGACATCTTTTGTCACTCTTATCGATTTATACACCATGAATTTCTCAAACTTTGCTTATGTGGAAAGCCTTATCAGGTATAGCCATATGTGTGCCTGTCCATGAACCAAGAGACTAGCTCAAGGGATGGAGTGGACAGAACAATCTCTATGATTTACATGATGAGTGTGTTCAAAGCAGTCATCTCATTACAGAGCTTTCAGAATGAGTTTTAAAATTTAATTTCTTTCCTGCCTGGCCAAAATTGTACCAAGTATTTTTTTTTCTCTGTGGATTAAGTATTTTGTGTACATACTTTGGTTTTGATTCAGAAGCATTGAATGATTATTTCAAGGTATGTTTCTCTGACAGACCCAAAGGACCCTCTCAGGATCTAGGTCTGTAAGAATAGGTTACCTGCTCTACTCAATCAGTGTGACCACTTATTTAAGACCTCAAAGGAATAATTATAGGCCCTTCACTTGATTCAGTTTAGATATGTCTGATTTACATTATCAAAGGGAATTCTTTAAATGGGGAAAAACTTTGAAAAGTTTAAGAATAAATTATCAACTATTGGGATATTTATATCTATCTATCTGACATTAAAGTGTGATTTCCTTCAAGACAAAAAAAAACCCACTGTCTTATTTCAAGTGTCTGATGGTACACGGTGCTCAATAAATATTTGCCAAAATATTGCTGAATGGAACTACTGAGTTACAACTCAGGAGGAGTCACACTTAACACCAGTCCCTCCCGAGGACCTAGTGTTAGTCTTTCTACATTCTCTCCTCCTACATGATCGATCCTCCTTTATTAGTAGTACTATGAACTTTTGTAAAAATTTTTGTTGCTGTTTATCCAGTGCATGTAGCAGCCATTTGCCTAACCTTTTTGGAAATATATCAGTGGCTGATTTTCCAGGGACCAGAGAAAGTGACTTGATATACTTCCACTACCCTAAATAGAGCTCCTCTGCCACTTTTGGCCTTTGCACATTAATGTGTTAGGTGGAAACTGTTCTTGCCTTTTTCTCTACTTCACCCAGCAACACCCCATCCTTCTTAGCAGCTCTCCCAGGCTTCTAGCAGCATCTACCATATTATTGGTTGCCACTGCGACTTTGGTGTCACTGTAGTGATTTTATCACCATGCCTCTCCATTGTGACTGGGACCCTGAACCAGTCCCCTTATTTTATAAGCCCTAGTCCAATTACTTAGCAGCCTACTTCAGGCTAATTGCCCTGGCTTAGTGTCTAATTAAAGTATCATTTCCCAAAGAGATTGCTAATGCTATTGAAAAATTGCAGGCCCCTTTCTCAATGTTTTTTTTTTTCCTATTTACTTTTTTGAACCTTCTCCTTTTTAGTCTATCACATCACAGTAAAATCATCCCCTAGGACATCCTGAAGTAGTGATTCTTTTTCTACATTTCTTGTTAAGTAGTGCTTCTTAAAGTGTGCTCCAGAACAGCAGCTTCAGTGTCACCTATGCCCCTATCAATACTGCCTGAGAATATGCATTCCAAAAAAGTCCCCTCAGGTGATGTGTATGCCAATCAAATAGTGAAACCTACTATGCTAAAGGGTGTTTTGATCAGACAACTAGTCTAGCAATGTATTTTTTCCACTGATTCCCTGAGTCTTTCTTTCCTCCCTCTCTTCATGTGTGGGTTGTAATTAATGACGCATTTTTAACGTGACTTCTAACTTGCCCCCAGGCTAAATTCACTTAAGGCCTAGGTGGGTTAAGATGACACTCTTGTTCCTCTTGATATATCCTGTCAAACCTCCCTGATGTTAGAATGTCATAGGGTTCAGAAATTTCATGGTACAATTAGGAGAAAAGATTCAATAGATCTACATTGTAGAGTAAGGCTTTATGTTCTCAAGAAAAAAGGGTTATGATCTAAGATGTTGGATGACAAAGCCCTGTGGGGGCAATAACTAACTCACCTACCTGCCCAGATTGCCAGGAACTTCCTATTTTAAGAAGTGTTATTACTTGCACTTAAATCTTTCATTATATTCAAGAGGATACATTCATCTATTAGATGAAATCCTTCAAGCTGGTCACCTTCACTTATAGTTTAGAATCATAGAAACTTTGGGCAGAATGAAGGTATGGGTATGGATTGAGGCCAGTGATTTAGTCAAGATCAAATAATTCTTTTTGGTAAGCTGAGTGTACCATCCAGGACTTCAGATGACCAAAGAAGGTTGAGGAAATTATTAAAAGGATAAGTCATGAGAATTATAGATTCCTAAAAAAAATGAAAAGGGTATCCCTCAGCAGGTACAAAATGACTAAGGTGTCTATGACTAACTCTGCTGGAGTCACAAAGGTTGATAAATTGATAACAAGCACTTTTCTTAAGGAAGAACTATGGTAGAATGAGAAATAAATGGAATTTGGTATCAATTAAAGCTGAATTCAAGTCTATCTTTGGTAACTTACTGATTTTATGATTTGTGGAAAATGGCTTAACTTCTGTGAGCTTCAATTAGCTTATCTAAAAAATGGAGATAATACTGTCTTCCTTGTGTGATGGTACTTCATGATTATAAAATAATGAGTGCTTAAATCACAGCAGGTATTCAGAGAGTTATGATTATTAATACATTATCACTTTACTTTTCATTTTTCCTAAGTGTTTTAATGCTAAAGAATACCTTAAGTTCCATGCATTCTTATGTATCTGTGTAACATTATTTGCAGTGTCCCGCATAATGTGTAAAATGTGGTCCCCAACACAGGAACAACAGCAATATCCCTTGCTCCTGAAAAACACAGAAACATCCTTTTGTCCTTCCTCTCCAAACAAGACAGTCTATTATAACGATTAGAATGAACACTCCCAAAATAGCACATTAGCAATCTTTGCTTTAGGCAAGCAGATCACTCATTAAAATTTGTATGTCTACCTGAAAATTCATTTTCTCTTCAAACAGTATTTTTCCTTCAAGAATCTCACTGGGATCAGACTCCCAATTCTAATACTGAGCATCTTAGAAACCAGCAGTATCTTTGTGAGTTAAAGGAGCCTTCTGTCTGCCCAAACATTGTAAAGTTAAATGTTTAATTTATATTCTTCTAGCAATGTAAGAATAGCACCGGTCATGGACTCAGATGTCTGTCTAAAGCTCAAAGACAGGTAGACTGTGCTTCCTGGTTTTTCTTCAGGTTGATTTGCCTTACACCCTGTTGGCTCCAATGAACAGCCTCTTCCCTTCTAAATCCTTTATTCTTCCCCATTCTTATAGACTAAAAGCCTGGAATGTTCCCACAGGGTTTCAGGATGCTGATTCACTATTTTTTAAAAAAAAATATTTAGTTTTTAGCTGTAGTTGGATACAATATCTTTAATTAATTAATTTATTTTTATGTAGTGCTGAGGATTGAACCCAGGGCCTCACCCATGCTATGTGAGTGCTCTAATGCTGAGCCACAATCCCAGCCACTGATTCACTAACTTGTTCAACAAATATTTATTAAATACATACTCTGTTCCAGGCACAGATTTAGATGGTAAGAAAAAGAGAGAGTCTCAGCCTTCATGGATCTTGTATTGTAGTAGGGGAAAAAGATAATAAGCAAATAAAAATATGAAAATTATAATATTTGATTTAAAACAGTGTAAAGATAGTTGAAACCATTTGTAATGTCAGCATTTATCAGTAATTTAAACTTTAAGTGGGGTATAAACCTAAGAACTGGTTTTATGAGAAAGGTGAACTGAAGAGGAGAGAAGTAAGGAAAAGAAAGAGTGGGAAATGTAAGATTTAGGAAAACTGACTTTCTGAATTTAGATATGTTCTTTACCTTTAAAATATAAATGCTGGCTTGGCCTTCTTACTCTCAGTAAAAAAGCAGAGCCTCCTTAAGAGAACTTTATTCCTTCCCTGTGCAAAAAGGAACAGAGTGCCCCAAATGCACGTATGTCAGCTGCGTTGACAGTAGGAGAATGAGCAATAATGCTTCAGGAAATGAGTTCTTTAACAAAATCAAAAGGAAGAGGGTGGCCTCAGCTCACTGCCTTCAGGTGCTATGGCCTTAATATTTCAGATCGTGGGGAAGAAGGGAAGAAATTTGACATGCTTTAGGCAGTGTCTGCCAGTGAGAAGTCTGAGTTTCCAGGCAAATTAAGGAGAATATTGGCTTTTCAATTAAAATACTTAATTCTGTGATATCCATAAAAAATGAGTGAAGAGCAAGATAAAAGGAGATAAAAATTGTTCACATTTTAGTATACTGCTGTACATACCTGTCTTATTTGGTGCAATTTCTGCATATCTGTAGAAAACAGTATCATTTCTTTTTTCCCCAAAGCTCTCATTTTTTAAAAAAAAAATCATGAAATGGCTTTTAAAAAAACCAAATGAGGTGGTAGTTTGGGGGTTCTGGACTAGGAAGAGTAAAATGGAATGTTCTGAGGTGATGGGAATGTTGTAAATCTGGATCACTGCTTATTACCTGGGCGGATATAGATGTAAAAAAGTCATCACACTGTAAGATTTTATAGTTTTACTATATTTAATATATACTTCAAAGGAAAAACAAGTAAAGGGAAGACCTAGATTTTAGACCTTCGGATGTGTGGTCAAATATATGTCATATATCATGGGCTCTGAAGCTCATGCAGGACTGATTAGATCCTTACAGACTCTTCTGATTCACTCAGCTGATGAAATCATTTAACAAACTGTGGAGTTGTTAATTCTTATTATTGGCACCCACTGGATTCCAATAAAAAACCTATCTAGAAAGGAAAAATTAGAAAAATAAGGAAGAAAAAGATATCCACTGTGTACTCAGCTGAAATATTTAGGAAGAGTTTCATGCCTGTTGGGAATTTCTCTCAGTGGGGTTAATAATTTTGAACCCTAAAAGAATGGGGTCCCTATAGAATTGTTATATCTGCCATAAAGGTAGGAATAATTGTGTGTGAGGCCTTTGCTCCCTGAATAAATGTGAAAAGTTCACTTTTCAAAAGAATCAGAAACAGCAAGCCTAAGATTAGTAATATTTAGGTTGAGTTGTTTTCAATAGCAAATAATAAACATTTGAATTCCATGCTGCATGTTCTTTTAAGCTGTATTAATTTCCACCAATATTACTTTCTAATTTCTCAAAGCTTTACAAAATTATAATAAAATTTCCACATTTTCTCTTTTTGATTTACTTAAATTGTCCATACACTATCTGATTATTTTCATATGATATACATATTTTAGTTTTTTAAGTTTGTTCCTTTGTAAATTGACAAATTATAATTTTTTTAAAACAGGGTACATAGTGATGTTATGATTTATGAATACAATGTGGAATAATTAAATCAAGTTAATCAACTTATTTATAACCTCAAATATTTATTTTCTTTGAAGACAACATTTGAAATTTACTCTTAGCAATTTTGAAATGCACATCATTATTTGTTATATTCACAACATCGTGCAGTATAACTCAAAAGAAAAATCTATCTTCCTAATGAAGGATGTAAACCCTTTTGAAGTACTATTTACAATAATCAAATTATGGAACAAAGTATTTTTGTATTTTTATAAATATTTCCTCTTTAAAAAATAGAAAAAAGGGGCTGGGGTTGTAGCTCAGCAGTAGAGCACTCACTTCATATGTGCGAGTCCCTGGGTTCGATCCTCAGCACCACATAAAAATAAATAAATAAAATAAAGGTGTTGTGTCCATCTACAACTAAAAAAATATTAAAAAAGAAATTTGAAATATGTAAAGAAAAAGAAAAAAACAGATTCTCATTATGTTAATAATAATTTTAAGTCCATGGATCCTTTTTGAGTTTTTTCTGCCCCTTAATAAAGTCAACTTTTTTGTTAGAGATTTTCATTTTACTTCTTTTACTCTGCTTTTATTTTAAAGAGTTTATCTGTTAATCTTAATAAAATAGTGTTTTTAAAAAATTAAAGTGTTCATGCCAGGTAAAAATAATTAATAATCTATATAGGTATATCTACAAATGAACTCCACAAATGAGAAAGATTCTTTTTTCCTGTCTAAAATGTTGTTTTAGGTCACTTGTTTAAAACACAAAACCATTTTTTCCCTTTAGAATCATGGTGTTTGGGCCCTCTTCTGAAGATCTCATAGAAGATAGCTTATTTATTTAGCAATGAAGGTGAAATATTATGTATTTAATAATAATGAGATTAATAGCAAAAACACTGAATAGAAGAGAATTGTATGATTTTATCTTTCAGCTAGGGAAAAAAAGCCACATTTATTTACATGAAGACAAGAAAGCTAATAAATAGGCTGGGGTTGTGGGTCAGTGGCAGAGCACTTGCCTTGCACATGTGAGGTACTGGGTTTGCTCCTCAGCACCACTTAAAAATAAATAAACAAAGATATTGTGTTCATGTATAACTAAAAATATTTTTAAAAAAGAAAGTTAATAAATAGATTTTATGGATAGTTTCAAATAACCTATACTTGTCATTGGAGACAGTATGGAATGAAGAATAAAAACAAACTGTGAATCATTCCACCAACCAGAAATATCTACTCTTAATGTAGTGATGTGTTTATATCTGTGAAAACAGATTTTTACATAATTGTGATCAACTGCACTATGTTGTGTCTTGCTTTTCGTAGTCATTGTTGTATTTTAATGACTTTGAAGATCATCAACATGGATTCTTTGTCTAATTTTGCTTCAAATTCCAAAACCTTTCTTGCTTTAAAAAGTGTGCCACATTTTGTTTTGTTTTGTTTTGCTCAAATAGAATGTAAAGTGAAGGAGAAAAATAGAGAGGAACCAGGAGGGTGAGAATAAGCATAACTGCAGGAGAGAGTTTGGGTCAAAGTGTGATAGTCAGTGAGGTTTTTGGATTTAAAAATATTTGAGACACAGTGAACATAATTTGGGGCAGTGAACCTGAGAATAACAGAATTCTAATATTAGAGTAAAATGGGAATAAACATCATCCTACCTCATCATTTGATTGATGAGGAAACAAATGTTTAGCAAGTTTAATATCTTCCTGAGGATGTTGAGATAGTTTGACGCAATATTGGGAAGAGAAAATAGATCTAATAATCCTCAATCTTAATTTCCTTGTTTGAGAGAAAAGCAAAGCAAAATGTGTGCACCATCTGCTTAAAGAATACAAGGGAAATGGTGGAAAAGAGATGGAAGCCAACATTCTGATATAAGGCTCATCCTGAGTTGGCTGGAACACTGAAAAATTGAGAAAAGGGGAAAGGGAATAATGTAGCCCCTACTAAGTACAGAGAAGCAAAGACTATGCAAACCACCATCTTTAAATGGATTTTTGTAGCTTAAGGTTTACTAGCTCCAGAACTGTCAAAGTTCTACAATGAATGCTATATTCATTGTATGCTATATTGTTATGCTATATTGTTTACCCATCTATGTGGATTAGTAAATGAAAAGCCTGTGGAATTAATTATTTGCTAGAAGGTGAATTAATGCTTATTACATGATTTATTGTTCTTAAGGCAAAGTCCACACATCCAGGTATCCAGAATATAATTCTAAAATAGTATAAACCTTATGTCTTTTGTATATCAGTATGGGTAAGAGCATATTATTTGTGTTACATCATTTCTCAGTGGTCTTGCTTATTCTAGAGTAAACTTGAGACTGGCATCATTAATGAGGACAGGGAAAAGTAGAAAGAGTCAAAGGCTGGAAGAAGGGAAATAGAAAGCAGAGAGTTCTGATTAAATACTATAATATCTAAAAATATTACCAATGACTACTCTTCATTTGAAAAACAGAAAGTACTACCATGAGTGAGAACTTAAATTTCAGTATTTGAATCAATACATTTTGATAAATGTCAAATAGATTTCTGTTTCTGAAGAATTAGACTTCATGGATTTAAAACTGGTTTTCATATTTTTTTCTTTGCTAAGACTCACGTTGACCTTATCATGTCCCATGGACTTGAAGAACTTCCCAATGGATGTCCAGACCTGTACAATGCAGCTGGAGAGTTGTAAGTCACAATTATTGAAATGACTGCCTGCTTGTTTTAACAAAAAAACTGGTGCTTTTAGTGTCATTAAGGGAAAAAGACCTATAAGACTCATTCTCTACCTACTTACCAACACTCCTAAAGAAAGGACAAGCAAATTTGTGTACATGTCTCATAAGAGAAGCTCATTATCAATATAGCACAGATAACCTCCCAATCTAAAATGCCAAGTAACTTGCCCTTCCTCAAAAAAAAATTCTGACTTAGTTTTTCCTTGAAATAATAATGTCTCCTGGGAAAATCAAGATTATTATTCATTCAACTTTTATAATGATTCACTCTCTAATCAGAAAATCACATTTCTTTCCAACTTATGCCCATATAGACCATCAGTCCCAAGGGAATTCTGGCAGGAAAGGATGTTTGCTTTCAGAACAGGACACAGGGGCCTTAGTCAGAAGAGGATGCAAGAACAAGGGGTATGAAATGAGATGATAAAGACAGAAAAAAGTATCTTCTTAGATAAGCAATGGATACAAAAAGGCATGGTGAAGGAAGTAGGAAAGTGACATCAACGTTGTTCCCTTTATGCCCTAGCTCTAATGCCACTGAAATCTTTGACATGAGCCATAAGTTGCTGATGCCTCCAAGGTAATGGGCTTTTCAGCTAAGAGACAGAATTTTTCTGACTGGCTCTGTCAGTTTGTTTGTTTGTAGAATGCAAAGAATAATAAGTGCTATTGACCTACAGGAATGTTAGAAGATTTAATGAGGCACGGGCAAGAAAATACTTTTAACTTCTTGGTTTTGAAAAATAATAAGTGTAAAAAGACACATCAACTATTATTTAAAAAAAGAAATGGTGACAGGGTTTCTTTCTGATCATTTAAAATCACTGTAGATTTCCCTTGAAACTTCCTACAGAAATAAACAAAATAATGAAACATCTTTGTTTTAAGAAGTTGTCAGAGATAAAATGAGAATTTATGAATTATAATAGACTTTATGCATTCATTTTTTTCCCTATTGCCCCTTATCTTGAAAAAAAGGTTAAGAAAAATACTTTTTTTTACATAATGATTCCTTCTTTGTCTCTTTTCTAATACTTCATATTCTCCTCTGCCTCAAAATGATACTCTGTAAAACAGCAGACATGGCTACTAACTCAGGCTCATCCAAGGCTTCAAATGCTTCAAAAAGTAAATATGCTTCATTTTTGCAGACTCAGATATAATGAAATCAAAGAAACAGCAAGGTTCATACTACTAACTCTAGAAGCAAAGGGTGGAAATTACTCTATACTTTGCTACCCCAATATTACCTTCTCTTTCCCCATCTCTTTACCTCTTCTGTCTGCCCTATGCTGAGATGTCAGGGAGCTGACAAAGACAATTATTATAGTAGACATCAAGAAGCTCACATGATAGGGACATGGGGTATTTGGTAAGCTCCAAGTATTTGTTGGAGGCACTTGGGTTGTATTCCCCCAGAACTGCAGTGGAAGAGATGGTTAGCCATTCTCTTTGTAGACTATCAGTGCTTGCACATGACCCTCTTTGCAGTTCCTTGCTTTCTGTTTTTATATTTTGGTTTTAAATTTAAAAGATAATCAAAAGAAAGAGGAAAGTAGATTCCAATTAAATTTGCCATTGATTTTTGGGTAGCTCTGATGAGTCACTATCTTTCAGTAAACAACAATGAGAATCTATAAACTTAATAAGCATGCTGAAGTTATTGGCTAGTCAAAACTTCACATAATATCCTTTGTTCCCATCACCCTCATTTTTAAGAGTTCAAATATCACTAACAAAAGATAGAGAAATAATGCATGAAAGAAGAATAGCTGTCAATTCTGGAATGGAGAAAGGTACAGAGGCACTTGACAAATAAAGGCCTGGTTAACAGGAACATGGAGAATAACAGCTAACATTGGTTTGCTGAACTGTTAACTATCTTACTTTGGATGGTTCAAGTAATATAACAATATGACCTTACACAATAGAGAGTCTATTTACTTTATATTAACTGAGATGTGTAGGCCTATTTATCAAGACATTGGCTCTTGCATATCCTACAACTTAAATTGCATATCCTACAACTTCCTATTTCCTTACCTGCCTATAGCCTTGCCTACTTGCTGAGGTAGCTGAGATTTGACCATAAATATTTAACATAAGTTTTCTGAAAGAAAAGCTAACAGACCTCAGAACAGGGGCCAAGTATGCAATGAGAATGCTTTAGGCAGACCCATTATTAATTTATTCTTATTTTTTAAAAAAAATCAGAGTGGTTTCAATTGAAATACTAAGACTAGAGCCATGAATTGAATTGTTTTATTGGATTGTCCCAGACACATCTCTTTCAAGTAAAGACAATCTTCAAATGATTTTTATGTTTGTTTATTTGTTCTTCAGAAAGTGTTAGTGAATAAAGAGGCAAAGAAAATACTTTATAGATTCCATTCTCTCATTACACAGAAAAAAATCATCCAGAAATAGCTTGCTGTCTTCAATTTCTTTGGTTCTAATGACATGTAGTTGTGATGATTACAGCCCTCTTATTAAGAATGCTCTTAAAATGATTGAGCATGTGTCTGCTTTAGATGACTTCCTTGTTTGTTTCTTTACATGGCTAGACTTTTAATCTTGCTATGAATAGATAAATTCAGGTTTTCACTGTGATTCCTTTACTCCAGTTGGGTACACAATGAATGACCTGATATTTGAGTGGTTAAGTGATGGTCCAGTGCAAGTTGCTGAAGGATTGACCCTGCCCCAGTTTATTTTGAAAGAAGAGAAGGAACTTGGCTACTGCACAAAGCACTACAACACTGGTAAGTTTTCTCCCAGCTGCTAAGCCCAAGTGGGCTCCTTTTGCTTCTTGGAGAATATATCATTTCACCTTAATCACTACATTTTTACCAAGAAAATAGAGTTCAAAAACTACTCAATAGATAAGATTCCGGTACCCTCTGGAATAGGTTACTGAACATAATAGATAATTTTTCTAAATCATCTAGAGAAAGAGAAATAATTCGTAATCTTTTGCTATTCTCTTGCAGAACATCTATTTAGATGAGTCTGAAGAAAGGTGTAGGTCGAGACCTAATTGGTGGTGCAGGAAACATGAATTCTTGCCCCTTTCTGGCATCCACTCTTGACATTGAATTCACAGATCAATTTGCACTTCCTGCCTTAGTGGAATAGAGGAATAATAACATAGGTTTTTGTAAACCCAGAAATAGAGCTGATGTGCTGTTTAGTCCTGAACAGTAATAGGAGTTTGGATGAAAATCAGAGGGAATTCTGCCAGATCTAAAGTAATATGTTATCAGTAATGCTGATAGGCACATATGGGGGTAGGGAGACAGTGAGAATTTGAGGTGGTAGCAACAAATAGGAATTTGCTATTGCCTAGAAGATTATACCTGCCCAGTAAAGTTGATGGCTTTTCCTATGAACATCCTGGGAAAAGAGGCTAATTATAAAGAGGCAATCAAGAGGGCCAGGTGTGGTGGCATACATCTGTGATCCCAGTAACTCAGGAGGCTGATACAGGAGGATTCTGAGTTCAAAGCCAGCCTCAACAACTTAGTGAGGCCCTAAGAAACTCAGTGAGATCCTGTCTCTAAATAAACTATAAAAAAGGGCTATGGATGTAGCTCAGTGGTTAAGGCCCCTGTGTTCATTTCCCAGTACCAAAAAAAAAAAAGGCAATCAAGGCATGATGGTTTATTCAGTGACTGGTCTAGATCCTTTGCTCAGGAGAATTGTCCATGATCTCCTGTTCCAGAAGTCAATAGTGACTTTCTATGAAGTAACTAAAAACCTGATTCCACAGTATTCTTCCTGACCAAGAAGAATTCAACCTTATCTCTTATAATTTTTATGGAATAAGCACAACTAACTTCTGGAACTCTAATTCCAAGTCAATCAAAGAAGGGTAAAAGTGGGAAGAGGCAGGAATATCTACCTTCTAATAGTATGTTGAAGTTTTAATATATCTACACGTACTCTTTTTCATAAGGAAAGTAACACCAACAAATAGCTCCTAGGAATAGTCAAAAGGTCCTCAATTACCCAAAAGTCTAGGAAATTTTTACAATGACTAAACTGTACGTGGTTTATAAAAATGTATATTTTCTCTTGCCATTAATAACATAAGAATCGACACACAGTTATTCAAATACTGTTGGGTATCATTTTACTGCTTAGGAGTGTTGGTTTCAACCATTATATATTATATAGCATATGTATATATTACATATATCCTATGGGTTCTATTATGCTATAGGTTCTATATTATGTGATATATATCATAACCCCATGTATTTTGAATATTTTATTTCCCCTGGCCAGTTTATGTCAGTCCTGCAAACTCTGAAGCTCTGTCTAAAATAATCAAGCTGCAAGAACAGATTTGAAAATTAAATGTGTCATGTGTTTTTAGTCCAGTGACTGATTAGATCACTCCTTCTTACTATTATTTCAATTACTAGTTGAATTGGAGAGAAGTTGACTTGGTTACATAGGGTGAATATTTTGTGAAATATCCCAAATCTGTCTGCAATATCATTTTAAAAATAAAGTAGGATACTGGAATGGGACAGATAAATTCAAATTATATTTTAAATGATCACTTCATGTTTTCAGGAAAGTTTACCTGCATCGAGGTCAAGTTTCACCTAGAACGCCAGATGGGATATTATTTGATCCAGATGTATATCCCCAGCCTGTTGATAGTCATTTTGTCCTGGGTCTCCTTTTGGATAAACATGGATGCAGCCCCTGCCAGGGTTGCACTGGGCATCACCACAGTCTTAACAATGACAACCCAGAGTTCAGGTTCCAGGGCTTCTTTGCCAAAGGTAAGAAATTTCACTTAACTAATAACCTGAGAGTTTCACCAAAGGTTTTATGGGCTGGAGAATTCTTCAAGGACAGAAATTTTGCAATCCTATAGCACAGTTGAAAATGCAAGTGTAATAAGACAATGAGGAACTGAGAGAGTATCAGGTCTCTGAGGATATGGGTAACCCTCAAAATCAAATCAGTTAAGAATTAGGGTTGACAGAGAAGAGGAATGGAGGGGGGGAGGTACAAACATGGCTTGGAAATTCTAAGAAGTCCTAGAGTACTTTTGACATCAGATGTTTATGAGCCAAGAACTGGAGTAGGATTGGTGTAACTTATATTGTCAACTCTTGTGAGGGTATTGTGATTCATATGCTCAGTGAAATCAGTTACAGTAAAAACAAATCTTGAATTAAGTTCCTAGAAATTTATATCAGAAAAATCATATCAATGTTGTATGTATGTATGCAAAACAAATAGACTTTTTTTAGCATCTCAAACAATGATACCTAAGTGGCTATGCGATCCATTTTTATGTAAGGTAGGCCTTCTGCATTTGTAAATGTTGCTTAAATAAGTATGATAAATGTACTACTTGTGAAATGCCCCAGGACCCCTGAAGTATGCCTATGCATGCTTCCCCCTTTTATAGGGTACATTGAGCCACTAGCTTGAATTTTCTGGGAGTGTGAGTTTGATTTAGCATTCAGTGTACATTGTTTCATATTGGTTGGTGGTCTTTCCAAAATCCAGTTCCATAAAGTAATTGAGATGTAATTCCATATCTTTGCCGGTTTAAGCTTATGTTCAGCTGTGCTACAATTAACATGATGATAAATGCTAATCATGTTCCATATTATTGCCCATGTTTGGAACATAAGATGACAATATAGAGGTCCATGAATATAACAGAGTTGTACTAAATAGTGGGGAAATAATTACACATCATACCTCTAAATATAAATATTAGATTTTGTATACACATAGAAAAACAAATAGAGCTGTCTCGGATACTTTATCTTCTACAACAAATAGTATAATGTATTTATGTCATATGTCTACTGGGGTACAGATGTGAGAAATACTAAAACCTTTTTTCAGCTACATAATCACAGATCAATTTTACCAAATAGAAATTCTAATCTACTCTGTTCTCCCTCCCAAAGAGGTTCATTTGCTTATTTCTCTCTAGCTGTTACTTACTGTCATCACTGCATTCTATGCCATTAAACTTCAGAATGCACAAACATATATTTTACAATTTAATAGACAGCCAAAGTATTAGTGACAAATTGTGAGCAGATAATGTCAAAACATAAGACATTTAGCCTCCAACTATCCATTGTTATGAAAAGAGAGTCACTTATTTTCAAAATGAAAGCTTAAGTTTTTACAAATTTGTTGTTCAGTCTATGAAGCGATTATGATTCTGCATCAACAGTCAAAACTATTGCTAAATAAATGGTTTCTGATCAGTGATCTTTTTATGTGGAAGCAATCAGGAACTCAGATAAACTCAAAGAGGGTACAATAAAAATCATTTTATGCTTGGCTCTGAACTTGTAGTGGTTATCCTTTTGCCACCAACAAGTTTATCTTCCTACGTGTACTTTTCTTATGTTATTATTAAACAAGGTTGGCTCTCAACTGACCATGAGGAGATGTGACTCATATGAATTACGATGAGAAACCAAAATGGGATAAAAAGTGAGTCATGGGAAACAAAGAATTGACCATATGCTTACTTATACATACATATACATATAAATACTGATTTTAATTTATGAACACTGCAATCTCTGACCAGATGCTTTACTGAGCTAATTGTACAATTGCTCCAGGGCCTACTACTATAAAACCCTGTACAAAGTATGTATGCATGCTGCACTTGAAAATTAAGGAATTCTTATTATAGAAAAAATAGACAACATCACTAATGTTACCAACCAGTAAATAACTGTTGTTAAATACTTTGGTGTGTTTAATTCCAGCCATTTTTCTCTATTTGCAATTGAGGGCAAATCTGCTTACATGTACACAAAGAAAAATGAGATCAAACTTTTATATAGTTTCCATATTATGTGCTATTTCCCATGGCATTAACAAAATCTCTCTTGCACATTTTTTTTTTCCTTTTTATGGTGATTGGGATTGAACCCAGGGCCTCACACATGCTAGGCAAGCACTTTACCACTGGACTATATGCTCAGCCCATGAGCATGATTTTTTTTGCTTCAAGCTTTTCTTTTTTATTGTTTTTTAAAGTCATAAAGATAGTAGAATAATTGTCTACCTGATATATTAATCATTATTTACTATCTTAGATATTCTGAGGGGTTATTGCTTTTCTAAATAAGATCATTTTAAATACATTTGTATTTGACTGTGTCTTATTGTGCTCCAAAAGACATATGTAGAGTTTAAATTTTTAACTTCAATGAGAAGAAAAGGGGAACCAATGATGATGAGAGTGAATATCTATGGGAAGTTGATCAATCGGATGCATGTTCCATGTAGGCCGGAACTTTGTCTTGTTTAGTGAGTTAAGTTCAATACCTAGGACAATATGTGGCTTAGACTAGATGATCAATAAATCTGCATCCATCAGATGAATAAATAAGTTCATTAATAGCCATGTTTCCTCATGTGAGACCATGTACATGATAAATGAGACCTAAAGCAGAATCCACAAGTAAGATGTTACAGGAAAACATAGTTTTGATATATGGAAGCATCTCATAAAAATATGACATATACTATAAAAAATGGAATTTATCTGATGGAGTAGATTCTCCTTTCCTGAAATTCTTAAGCTGATATTGGGAATTTTGGAATATATGCATAAAGATAATTTTTTAAATATAGGTAGACCTGGATATAAATCTTGGATCCTTTCACTCCACTCAACTTCCTTCAGCCTGTTTCTTCATTTTAAAAATAAGAACATGATTATCTACCCCTTTCAAAAATTAAATGAAATAAGAACTACCTTTATAAACTATTTAGCCATGTTTTTGTACATGGCAGGCATTGAACTTCTTCTGGTTATTTTTGTTGTTACAGATCCCTGTTCATAATGTAGTAGAAAAGACTGCTCTGTGAGATAGAAGGTTACATTAGAATTTTTTTATTGGTTGTTCAAAACATTACAAAGCTCATGACACATCATCTTTCATACATTTGACTCAAGTGGGTTGTGAACTCCCATTTTTACCCCAAATACAAATTGCAGAATCACATCGGTTACACATTCACATTTTTACATAATGGCATATTAGTGACTGTTGTATTCTGCTACATTTCCTATCCCCTACTATCCTCCCTCCCCTCCCCTCCCATCTTCCCTCTCTACCTCATCTGCTGTTGTTCAATTCTCTCCCTGGTTTCCCCCCCTTTCCCCTCAAAACCTCTTATATGTAATTTTGTATAACATTGAGGGTCTCCTACCATTTCCAAACATTTCCCTTCTCTCTCCCTTTCTCTCCTCCCACTCATCTCTGTTTAATGTTAATCTTTTCCTCATGCTCTTCCTCCCTGTTCTGTTCTTA